TACCAGAAAGGCCGGTAGTTTGGCGGTTCGAACCTCTAGCGCCATGTCATGAAGTGAGCTCCTGTTACTTGTCCCAGCTTCTGCCAACCTAGCAGTTCGAAAGCATGTTAAAATGCAAGTAGAAAAATAGGGACCACTTTGGTGGGAAAGTAACAGCGTTCCGTGCACCTTCGGCATTTAGTCATGCCAGTCCATGACCATGGAGATGTCTTTGGACAGCGCTGGCTGTTTGGCTTTGTAATGAAGATGGGAAACGCTCCCTAGAGCCAGAAAAGACTAACACGTATGTGCGAGGGGAACCTTTACCTTTTATAAGGAGATGTATGAATGTTCTCTAAGAAAAAGTCAATAGCCCGCACCTGTGATTTTGGCAATCAAGCAGTAGAGGTAGTCCTTGACTTACGACCACAGTTGAGCCCAAAATTTATGTTGTTAAATGAGATATTTGTTAAGTGAGTTTTGACACATTTTATGACCTTTCTTGTCATGGTTGTTAAGTGAATCACTGCAATTGATAAGTTAGTAGCCCGGTTGTTAACCAAATCTGACTTCCCTGTTGAGTTTTCTGGTCAGAAAGTCATAAAAAGTGATCATATGACCTTCAGAGACAGCAATGGTCATAAATATGAACCATTTGCCAAGCATCTGAATTCTGTTCACATGATCACAGGGATGCTGCGAAGGTCATAACTGTGAAAAACGGTCATAAGTCACATTTTTCAGTGCCTTTGTGACTTTGAACGATCACTAAACGAACTGTTGTAAGTAGAGGACTACCTGTATATGAGTCTGAGCAAAAGGAAATAATTTTCATCCTCCCAGCTAAGCAAATATAGGATTAGAGTTTTGGTTCTTTGCAGCCATGCCCTGCAATGACTTCCTAAAGCTGTACAACAGTGATGTGTCATCTGGTACACAACCAAGGATATCATCATGCATCTTCTCTATGATGCATGTAGTGTATATTATACAGTATATGTGCTGCTATGGCATCCAAAAGTCATAGCAGCCCATGAGATACGATATATTCAATACACAGATGTTACATATCTCTGTCCCAGCAGGATGGACCTGGAGTTTTTAGAGTGTATGGTAAAACAGGCCTAGATTGAATCTCATCAAGTCAGTGTTACAAAGCCAACTAACCCTGGAAAGTAATCCATCTGTTATTCCCCAAAAAGTGTACTCTTATGGAAAGAGCTGATTATAGACTGACAACTGTAGGTCCACCTGGACCCATAATTCCTCTTTAACTAGTAAATAAATACTATAGCCAGGAAAAGTTTTGCAAAATTATATTTTGCATGCTGAGTTAAGACATTTCTGGAATAAGAGGCTTGCCATGAGCACCATTTCTTTCTCACTCTATTCTCACTCCCTATATATGTCAGGGTCCCTTTGAAGATCACTCAGACCCTTCATCTGATTCAGCAGATAATTATGAGCATATTGACATTTGCTATGCAATATCTCTACCGTGGGAAATTTGTTGGCTACCTGTCAACTTACAGGTACAGTTCAAGCATGTTGTTGCTATTATTACCCTACTTGGCTCAAGGCTGGATGTCTCTGAGTTGCAACTGTCTGCTTGGTGATATCAATGAGAGAGAAGCTTACTAGTGGTCCTGTCACCGACGCATTTAAGGTCCCTGTCATTGAGCCTGCTTCGTGATGGTTCCATCCTTTGAAATAGCCTTCCCTATTAAAGCTGTGGACGGTGATGAACAAAAATTGTAGTACCTCTGAATGGTGGTACATATGGTTGGCTATAACCTTTTGATGAATGGAATTTGCCACTAATACTTAATCCTACTTTTGCCAGTATATCAAAGATACTCAAGAGTCTTTGGAAATGGAACAGCATATAAATGAAAGTCAATAAATAGAGCAACATATAAACAGAAGTAAATAAATAAATCTAGATAAAGTAAAATGGGAAATTCAGGAATTAAATATTTACCAATACTGTTTTTATGAATGTTTTTTACATTTATAAATAATATTTTATTTAGTTATTTATTAAGTTTGTATACCACCCATCTCTTTACCAAGTCTCTAAGCATCTTACAATATTACAAATAACAGGATAAAACAATTACAGAATTAAAACATTAGAACATTGTTTATTAAAAGTTAAAACAGTAAAATTAATACTAAAATGGATAAAAAGAATGAATATGTAGACAGGCTGGAAGTGAAACTTCTAATACATGAAAGACATTAAGCCCAAACTTCTTTTTAATATCCTAAAAATAACTAAATGTACTTTACTTGATATGGTTTAGCTTTTATACATGTTATATTGAGCATTAATTGTATAACTTCAGTCACTCTCTCTGTTTAATAATGCTATTTCTTAGAATATTCCTTTGTTTAAAAAAATTAAAACTGTTATTTTATTGGCCAAGTGTGATTGGACACACAAGGAATTTTTTAAATATTTGAATGAATCCTTAAATAGTATATTGAAAGCTTGTTCTGTGTGCATGTGTATCCTCAAGACAAATGTTTCATGCAGCATTACCTATAAAGGGGTTCTATTGAAAATACGTATAATTTAGATGTTTTCTTATAGTATTGACAATTTACATAACTTACTAAGAGAAGGAGCCATATGTTCCATAATTTATTATTTCCTTTTAAATCATAATTGGGTAAAAAAAGTGAGATTGCTTGGAAAGTTTAGTTTTTTCAGAGGAATTGAAATTAATTGCTTTTCATGTTGTTATGAGGCATAGTTTTTTTCCATCAGCTAATTTAACGCAACTTCAGATCTGAATTTTTCTAAATTGTAAAATGATTCTTGTTAAACTGTTCTGTAGAAAAAGGAATGACACATTTAATGTCTTTTGTACTTTAAAGGAAAGGCTGGTTTACTCATCCTACCCAATTCCCACTTCTCTTTCTAGATTATTTTTGTTCAAGGGGTGGTTAGATTTCAGAACAGCAAGTGGTCAAGGATTAGTAGCAGGGAAGTTTTGTTTAATTCAGTTTGTAAGCTGCTTTAGTCAATGAAATCCCTTAAAACACTGAGATTATATTTTTAATGCTACCAACACGCTATCTTTATGTCTCCAGCAGTAGATGGATTTTTAAAGCTTATTTTGAAAGAAGATTATGTACCCGTGTATAGTGTATGCAAAACTATGGAATATTATATTTCATGTACTGTATATCAATCACATGCAACCTAATACTATAAGATTAGATAGAAGATTTTAACAGATTTGCAAAGAGTTAAATGGTAGTCTTAAAATATTTAAGAAATTGTAGACATTAATAGGGGCAGAAAGGGGAAGCAGGAATTATGTATCCAATTTGAAGCTTTTGAAGCAATCTTAAATGAGACATCTTGTTATTTCAGGATTTACAGGGGGTTCTTTCATTAATCTATCTGCCTGCCCCTTTCCCCTTTTTATTTCTTTAAGAATGTAACATTTAATTTATGTTATCTTACACTGTAACACAGCAAGGAAGAGTATATTGAATTCTGGATGCAATGGAGCTGCCAAATGTTAACTTTTCAATGTGGAAATTTACAGACATAGGAAATATTTCCTTTTCCAAAAAGAAACAAGAACCTGCTAACAACTCAATCTTGCTTATCCCCTACCTTCAAGTTTCTTATCACTACATGTTTAACATTCTTGAGTGAATGGCAAATCTTATATCAAGAAGAAACCATAGACATGTTTATTTTACTACAAAAGGTAGCTGAGTAGGGGTTGCCCTTCCGTCACAAACATGAATTCCATCTATTAATTAGCCCTTCTTAATTGATTACAATCAAACACACTGTAACTCTGAAATTCAGAAACACAGGCATAGGAGAACCATGATAGTTTTCCTACTCATTGAACCACTCTGCATTGTATGACCATACCTATTTAAAAGTAGGTTTTCCAATTATCTGAAGCTTGGAAAGAAGACACCCCTGAACAGTTTATTTCCTCCTTGATTTCTGGTGATATGCTCTTCTCCTGGTTAGCATAACAAGATATTGTTGTCCTCAAATACAGTTTGAAATTATCTTCGACTAAGGCTTTTCAAATTGGACACCAAATGAAACTGTGGGAGAGCACAACATTTTTTTAAAGCTAATCTGGATGTGTGAACTGTTTTATAAGATGGAAACATTTAGAGGTACTTCCAAAGATGCTTTTTCAAGTGGCAATTGGACTTTCAGAGCTGAAGAAGCTTCTTGGATGAGAAGTGAAACGTCTTCAAAGAAAAACCAGAAAGTTCAGTTGCCTGTTGAAAAAAAGCACCTTTGGGACAACCATGACCTGGATGACTGAGAATCTCCATAGACATTTAGAGGTACTGTTGGCAATGGTATGGTTAATCTTGAAAGACAGTGTGGTTTTGTGCGACATAAATGGTTATGTAACTTTTGTAGTTTTGTACCATTTATTTATTTCAAAGATTTATATGGTCACCCATCTTAAGCATATCTGGGTAACTCATGGTAATTTACTGCCCTTGCAGTATAAATATATGTCTGTGCTCAGAGCTGATCTTCCTATTCGTTGGAAGAGATAAATTTGCTGGACTAATTATCCTGCAGAGGGGATTTGGGTGAATTATAGTCACTAATATTTAAATAATTAAGAGTTAGTCATTCTCTTACTGTTAGAGACATTAGGATCATACAATATTTTTAGAGTGGTCTTTTGGGGTGGGCTCTTAATTCTAGCATTCTCTCTACTTGGTATGCTTGTTCACAGAAACAGTTATTCATCTTTTAGTCTGACAAATTTGTCTTTGTGTCAGGTGGGCATTTTGTAAATAAGTCGTCTCAGTGGCATTGCGTCATCTTTCCCCAAGTTCCACAGCTCCTAAGCATTGCTACGGAGGTGGAACTCATTTTAGAATTAAGCTTACAGAGTATAGTCCTGAATATTATTTGTGTGAAGTTCACACCAGATTGGTGTAATAACATGGGAAGCTTAATATCTCACCATCTTTTTTATTTCTCTCTCTCTCTCGTTATCCTTTAGGAGTCCTGTGTTAGTGTTCCCATGTATTCATCACCATGTCATTTGCCTGGATTGTTTTCACCTCTACTGTGTGACTATGTTGAACAATCGCCAGTTTGTCCACGATCCTATCTTTGGGTATTCGTTGCCATGTGTGGGTAAGTTGTTCACTGGTGCTTTTTTATTACTTTGTAAAGTAATAAAATTATTTTACAAACAATGGGAGGAAATTACTGGCTTAAAAAAAATACTTCTCTGTCATGTATTAAAGATAAATTAATAGTGTTGAATAATGTTTTTTCTTAGCATTTTCTGCCTTTGGCTGTTCTTTGCCATATTAGTATTCAGTTGTAAAGAGTGTTTCTTTTATAAGTATACACTTACCTGGTTTGGTCTAAAATTTCATAATCAAAAAGTGTTGAATGGTCATATCTTAAAAGTGCTGGACATAGAATGGAATGGAGTGCAGTGCAGTGCAGTGCAATGCAATGCAATACAATACTTTATTGGCCAAGTGTGATCGGACACACAAGGAATTTGTCTTGGTGTAAATACTCTCAGTATACATAAAGAAAATAAAGAATCATAACGTACAACACTTAATGATAGTCATAGGGTACAATCAACAATCAAATCATACTAGGAAACAGTCAATATAAATTGTACGGATAAAAGCAACAAAGTTACAGTCCTACAATCACAAGTGGGAGGGGATAGGTAATAAGGAGTGATGAGAAGATTAACAGTAATAGTAGTGTACACTTTGTAAATAATTGAACAGTGTTGAGGGAATTATTTGTTTAGCAGAGTGATGGCTTTTGGGAAAAAACTATTCTTGTGTCTAGTTGTCCTGGTGTGCAGTGCTCTATAGCGTCGTTTTGAGGGAAGGAGTTGAAACAGTTTATGTCTGGGATGTGAGGGGTCTGTAAATATTTTCTCAGCCCTCTTTTTGACTCATGCAGTATACAGGACCTCGACTGAAGGCAGGTGGGTAGTAATTGTTTTTTTCTGTAGTCCTAATTACCCTCTGAAGTCTGTGTCTGTCCTGTTGGGTTGCAGAACCAAACCAGACAGTTATAGAGGTGCAGATGATAGACTGAATAATTCCTCTGTAAAACTGTATCAGCAGCTCCTTGGGCAGTTTGAGCTTTCTGAGTTGGCGCAGAAAGAACATTCTTTGTTGTGCTTTTTTGATGATGTTTTTGATGTTAGGTGTCCATTTTAGGTCATGTGATATAGTAGAACCTAGAAATTTGAAGGTCTCTACTATCGATACTGTGTTGTCTAGTATTGTAAGAGGTGGTAGTATGGGAGGGTTTCTTCTAAAGTCTACCACCATTTCTACGGTTTTGAGTGTGTTCAGTTCCAGATTGTTCCGGTTATACCACGAGGCAAGTTGTATAACCTCCTGTCTGTGTGCAGATTCATCGTTGTCTCGAATGAAACCAATCACTGTTGTGTCATCAGCAAACTTCAGTATTTTAACAGATGGATTGTTTGAGATGCAGTCATTGGTATATAGGGAGAAGAGAAGTGGAGATGGCACACAGCCTTGGGGGGGCCCTGTGCTGATTGTACAGATATCGGATGTGATTCTGCCGAGCTTCATCTGCTGCTTCCTGTCTGCTAGGAAGGTTATGATCCACTTACAAGTGTTTTCAGGTACCGCTAGTTGATTTAATTTACTTAGAAGAATGTCTGGAATGATGGTATTGAATGCTGAACTGAAGTCTACAAAGGAGACCCTTGCGTAGGTATTTGGAGATTCAAGATGTTGTAGGATGTAATGCAGAGCCATGTTAACAGCATCATCTGTCGATCTATTTGCTCAGTATGCAAACTGCATGGGATCTAACAGCGGATCCGTGATGGTTTTCAGGTGGGACAGCACAAGCCTTTCAAAGATTTTCATAACTACAGGTGTTAGAGCAACTGGTCTGTAGTCATTCAGTTCCTTGATGGAGGGCTTCTTTAGCACTGGTATGATAGTAGAACGTTTGAAGCATGAAGGAACATAACACATCACTAGCGATCTATTGAAGATTCGGCTGAAAATGGGGGCCAATTAGTCAGCACAGACTTTTAAGCAAGAAGGAGTTATCTTGTTTGGCCCTGGTGCTTTTCCTGGCTTCTGTCTGTGTAATAGATCTTGCACTTCTTTTTCTGTGATCACCAGAGGTTGTGAGCCCAAAGGATTGGGGCCAGTTGTAGGAGGCTTGGCTGTTCTTGGTGTGTTTGAGATGTGGGTTGTGGAAATAGATGGTTGTAGTTTCTTTTCAAACCTGCAGTAAAGCACATTCAGGTCATCTGCTAGTTGTTGATTTGCCTAGGAAGGAGGTTTGCTGAAGCCAGTGATGTTTTTAAGAGTTTTCCACATGGAATTAGAGAGAGAAAGGATAAGTGACTTCCACTTTTCATGTTCTGAGGAAGCTAAACTTCATTCAGTAACTTCATCTTTCCAAGTTAATTCACTTCTGAATTAAATTCAGGATAATAATTCAAATGTTTGTTGGTTAGAGCATCTCTTCTGATTAACTAAGTTAAAAAATGAAGGTATATGCAATCAATAATCCACAGTTGAGAGAAAAACATTCCTGAAGAGGCAAGGGAGTAAAAGAAGACAAAATGTAAACCTCTCTTAAGGCTTCAAAGTTGCTTATTTTCTGAAATAGATTTATAGAAAAAAGGAAAAGTTCTCTTGACTTTTAAATGTGGTCCAAAGTACATTGTTTTACACAAGGTATTAATTAATAGCTATGATATCATTTCTTAGAACTATAACTTGGTTACTTATAAGAGTTACTTTATTTGTTTTGGATGAAAACAGCAGGTACTTCAGTTCAGGTGAAGCCCCTGAAAAGCATATTGGGGTCAGTAGGTTTTGTCCAGAACATGATAAAGATGATTATCTCTCGGTAGCCTTCAGGCATTCAAAAATCTTCACACTACAGGACAAAATGTGGTTTCCCCATTCACACTGTTCAGTTTGCTTAAATGTGCAAATTAGCACTGTTAATTCTGTTGTTGTTTTGACAAATTTATGAAGCATAATGATCATAAACGGCAGTTTTCATTAACATTTGACTTTCTGCTTCTGAAATTATCTAGGGACTTTATTGCTGAAATTGAACAACACAAACTCAGCTTTGATTATATCAATCTGAAGGTCAAAACAACTGCATCATACTTGACTGGATAGTTGTAACTGTATTTAGGGATAAATAAGATATGAGTTTGGTCTGTATTTTAATAAAAATTTATCCACTTTCAAATTTTCAAATATTGATGCATGCTCATAAATGAAATCACCATTTTGTGGAATTTTAAAACTGTACAAAATTATGCATATTAAAATGGATGAAGACTATTGAAAAATTAAGAATTGAAAAGTTAGAAAATGTGGTGGAACTAAACAGATTCATCTATATGTAATCAAACATCAGAGACATTTAAGGATGAAATTTGCAGGGACTAATATATTCCACACTAATAGATCTCTTTGTAACTCATGTAACTCAACAAAAGGACTATTATACATAGAAGGTGAACATTCATTTGACTTTCATCAATATATAATGTTGTGTTTGCCCCCTTCTGCAATTTCTGAGTGTGCCTGCCTGCTTTTTCTTCTCCCTTTTAAGCTTTTTTGTCATTTTCCTATAGCTTTCTGTTTGACTGATTGTGCCTAGGATCAGAGCAGTTTTCCATCATTACTGCAGCTGGAGTTGGTTTTTATATTTATAGGTACAAAAAGGTCTGTATTAGCATCTTTTACACCATGGGTGTCAAACTTATGGCATCAAGTTGCCATCATATGACATATCGCAATGCTTTCCCCTTTGCAGAGCTGGGATGGGCATGTCCTGTGCATGATGCATCCAGCCCTCAGGCCACCAGTTTGATACCCCTGTCTTGTACTGTCCTTTTTGACAAGAAGTGACAAATGTCATCATTCCACTCCAACCTCCACTCCAACCAATAACTCCAAGACAGACATCGCTCAAAAGTTCTTTTTTATTTGGATAGTAACCGGCACAACTGGGGTTATCCCGAATCTGAAAATTCTGGGCTTCCTTGCAATAATCAAAACTACAAATCCAACCCTCTGCACCCATCATCACATCACATGCACCAATCATCATCTGTCCCAAGTTAATACACATATGTGCACACTAGCATGACCTTGAACTACAAAAAGAATGTTATTTTGTCTAACTGCACATACCCCAAGAACTTCTACCCTCCCACTTTCCCAGGCTCAAAATGTGGCAGCGTGAGAGCATCTGGTTTCAATATGGCTTCCAAAGCTGAAAACAAGATTGAAGTTGAGCTTTTCTGCAAAGATGGCTCTCAATACCAAAAAGAAAATAGGACTCGTTATATAACATCCAATCAGTTTAACTTGAGAATATTTATTTATTTTATTTTATTTGTCAATCGCTTACAACATAATAGGTATAAGTATATACATAGTTATGAATACATGAAATGGGTACATACAAGAAAAATAAAAGAAACAATAGGACAGGGACGGCAGGTATGTTGATGCGCTTATGCACGCCCCCTACAGACCTCTTAGGAAAGGGATGAAGTCAATAGTAGACAGTCTAAGGTTAAAGATTTTGGGGTTCGGGGAAAAAACCACAGAGTCAGGTAGAGCATTCCAGACATTGACCACTCTGTTGCTGAAGTTGTATTTCCTGCAATCAAGTTTGGTGCGGTTAACCTTGAGTTTGTATCTATTGTGTGTTCTTGTGTTGTTATGGTTGAAGCTGAAGTATTCATTGACAGGTAAGTCATTGCAATGTATGATTTTATATACCATACTTAGATCGGACCAAAGACGGCATAATTCAAGGTTTTCTAGGTCTAGAATTTCAAGTCTGGTGGCATAAGGTATTCTACATTGAGTAGAGGTGTGGAGAACTCTTCTTGTGAAATATTTCTGGAATTTCTCAAATGTGTTAATATCAGATATGTAATGTGGGTTCCAGACTGATGAGCTGTATTCGAGTATTGGTCTTGCAAATGTTTTGTATGGTCTAGTTAGTAGTGTGATATTACCAGAGAAAAAGCTATGTAGGATTAGGTTAACAACTCTTAACGCCTTTTTGGCTATGTAGTTACAGTGGGCTCTAGCACTTAGAACATTAGAGAT